TTCGCTGGAGGTCAGCTTCTCACTTCAATGCTTTTGGTGGGTTATCCTGCATCCTGCTAAACCTCATGCCCTGCTCACTGGTTGCTCTACCTAAAGCAGAATTCTGAATGTATATTCACTCTCCCATCTGAAGCCCCCATTTGCTCCACACTGGCAACTACTCAGCCAAGTATAATTTCTCCCCTTGAAAATCAAGGCCCTCTATAACTCTTCTAACCCCACACCTTCCCCACACTTGCTTTGTTCTCCTACTGGAGCCACCAGGGGCAGGATATTAGCACTTACTGATCTGTACACCCCAAGCAGCCCCTAGACAGCACCTTGGATGTGGAAGAGTCTCCATGCATATTTGTTTCCACTAATTTAATTTGGTGTAACACGCTGGCAAGCAGTAGGCCCCAGGAACAAGATTCTAGACCAACTCAGGAGCAGAGAGTTTGCCCACAGCCCGGCGAGAAAAGGAGCAGCCAAGACAACTGTAGAAGAATAAAGAAGGATGGACTCAATTATACCAGGAATTCTGCTATGAGTAGATTGTTCAGTTTACTCTGAATTCACTGACCCTTCTCCAGCTCAGTGTCTTCCTCCCCTACTCAACATAAACTTGTCCGTGTGAACCTTTCATTAACTCACTCGCAACATGCAGGCTGTTGACCCCTGTTCCTCTCTGGCCAGCAACACCCTGGGCTTTGTCATTGGTCAGAACTGCTCCACTTCCATAATCTCGAAGTCAGACAATAAGGCTTTGGCCACAGCCTCCAGTTCTCTTTTGCCATTATTTATTACAACTAGTTTTTACAATTCCTGTATCTTTGTCCTCTCTCCTTTCTCCCATCTCAGCCCTACTTTGATCATCATCCTCAGCTTCTTTGCTCCACTCTCCTGCCATACTTCTGCTTCTATTCCAGGGTGCTGGGGCCACTCCCAGTGCCCCACTGACCAGTGCCTCTGCAGGCCCTGCCCTGGCCCTTTCTACCAACTCCTTGCCGTTGGCGTGTAAAGCAACAATCTCACGTTTATTTCTAGCTCACATTTTAATCTCACATTCATTTCTAGCTCCTGCCCTATTCACGTACACCCAAGTGTCTGGAAAGAGGGTCTTCCCGTGCCCCATCCCACTTCCTCACTCTGATCCATGAGGGTGGTGCATCAAAGATGGCCCCCTCATTGTCCAGTATGGCAGACACTGGCCACATCTGGCTACTTATGTGACAATGAATAAAAATAAGTAGGCTATAGAAGCCACATTTCAAGTGTGCAACAGTACCTGTGGTACAGACAGAGAACATTTCCATCATCACAGAACGCTCCATTGGACAGCGCTAGTCTACGCCACTCCCAACTTGCTCCACATCCTTTCTTCCTGTCTCATAAATAATTCCTCTGCTCACCACATGACCCAAGTCTTTCTTAGGAGTGGGCACTGTGGGTGCCCCTTCCAGTCCGTATGCTTCCACTCAGAGAATAATACAGTTTCCTCCTTTCATTTCTCAACCCTACCCTCTCCCCATCCTGCGAGCACCATCTCAGCACGAGCCTCCGTCATTCACTTCATTACACAGCAACTTCTTCAGCCATGTTCTCATTCTCCACATGGCAGACAAGCCCTTTCTAAAATACACAATGGATCCTGTGTATTTTAATATACAATAACTCTCTGGTTAAAGCCCATCAACAACTTTCATTTGCCTCCTGGGTTCAAGGGATTCTTCTGCCTCAGCCTCCTGAGATAAAGGTCAAATGCAGCAACAGGGCAGAAGCCCTTCCTGACCAAGTCCCTCATCCACTACCCTCTCCAGCTCCATCTTCTGCTGTCCCCCTTGTTCCCCCAGTCTGGGCCTTCTGCAGCCCCCAAACATGCTAGGACATTTGTTCATTCCCAGGCTTTGACCCCTTAAGTCCTTCTCCCTGCTCATCTGTATGACTCTTACTCCTCCAGGGCTGAGCATAGACATCACATCCTGTCCAAACCCACTGCTCCCATCCCGAGGCAAGATTAGGAGTCCCTTCTACATATTCCTGTTACACCTGTGCCAACTTGACTCTTGTCACACTAACCTGTGATGTCCCCATTGTATCCTCATTACCCTTGCTAGGCCAGCACAAAAGTTGAGAATGCCACAGGATCTGATGTCTTTGCCGGCCTTTCATTAACAATAATGGTGGTTAATCTTACTGGGTCCTGCAAGAAAGGGAATTAGGCCAAATGCTAAGACTTCTTCGATGAGCTGCTTTTAATTAAAAGATGAAGCTGTGTCATAGTCTTCTAGAGCAGGGTTTTCCACTCTTTAATTTGAGACTCATAATGGGCAATAAAATCAATAGAGTGGGTCATGACCAACTTTTTTAAAAGCATGTAATAGACTAGAATAGAAAATGTCAGAATGTGTCATACCTATTAGAGTGAGTATTTTTTCATGATTTTTTTTGGTTTCAGCTGTATCTAGCCATAGGCACGTGTGTACTGGGCCATAATGCAAAACTTGTCATCTCTTGCTCTAGATTACAGTTGCAGAAGTTGAAAAACAGTATTCTAGGTAATACCTGGTTGATTATTCCTGGGGCAGACGTACAGATAGTGAAACTGCTTTACAGCAGTGTATGATGATTTTAACAGTATCATATGCCTCATAATGTTCACTTTCACTTTCAACTGTCCTGTAATTTTCATTAACTTTTCAGAAATAGCTTGCAAATTGTTTTTCATCTTGTGCTATCAAAAAAATGTTTTGCCAGTTGTGTTGAGTCCTTAGTATCTGTCTAGAGGTGCAGAGATCTCCACAGCAACTCCACAGATTAGAAGGCTGGGCTCTTAGCTTCCCTGGCCAGCCCCAGAGGACTCATAAGGGCAGAGCTGAGGTCACTTACCTGGGGATGGTTCATGGCTTAGAACACAATAGGTTTTCACAATAGGTTGTCAATAAACATTAGCTTCTTGAACAAATGCATATGTGGAATGGCTTTACCATTTGCAGAAATAAGGGTCCCAATGTGCCAGTTTATATTACACATCCACCTATCGATCCACCCCACACTGCCTTGAGAGTAGGGGTGTAATGATGTATGCAGATTGCACCCTCCCACTGATAGGAAAAAATCAGCACGATCATAACTCTGCCTTGGTATTTCTGCATGCTACTACAGCTTCCCAGGAAGGCCCAAATGCTTTACTTTGAATTAGCGCTGAACTTGTTTTAATTGGGGCATCTTCACACCTACAGCACTTCTATTTTCCATGACTTAGACATAAGACAATGCCATTTGAGTTCACATGTATATACCAAGAAACATGGATTGTTAGTGGTTGAGAGTATTCTGAGGTCTTCTACCAGGCACAGAGGGAATGATCACAGATTGATGGAAAGGTTTTTGCTATTGACAGAGAAGGGAGGTGAGGAGAGACATATGCTATGTATTTGCCGTTCCCCAGGGAGGACCTTAATGGATCTAAAGGTTAATATTTTGCTTTCATATATCGATATATAAAAATCTTATAAAGTAACAGACATTTTGTTCAAAACTTTAAAACAAATTTAGAAAATATAACCTTATTACTCAAAGATAATAGCTGATATTTTTTTAATATCTTTTGCAATATTTTCCTATTTTATTACATTACAGACCTCTTTTTTTTCCCTTCCACATATCACATGCCCTTTCTAAGTCTATATTTTTCTTTCCAGAATTTTAAAGGGGAACATAAATCCTACTGCGATTATGGACCATAACTAATTTAACTAATTGCCTGTTGGGCTTTTGGGTTGCTGCCAATTTTCCACTTTCACAAACATTTCTATAGCTAGGTATTTGTGCTTATCCACAATTATATACTTGCAATGAGGAATTTTATTTCTACTCTAAAAATACAGGTCATGGTTGTTTTCTTTTCTACATTCAGATGCCATTTAAAGCCCACTGGGGAAGGTGACTGTCCTATTATTCAAGGAAAAAAGTTACCTTGATTTTGGCCTTAACAAAAGAATGCTCATAAAGCAACAGTATGGTATGGCAAGAGAAAGGCAGGTATAGCTGGGAACCAGGCCCAGCTTTAGCCCAGCCAGTGCACAGGAAGGACCTTGGGTGAACCATGGACTATCTCATCTTCCTTTTGCCTATCTTAAAAATGAGAGGGTTAGGCCGGGCGCGGACGCTCAAGCCTGTAATCCCAGCACTTTGGGAGGCCGAGACGGGCGGATCACGAGGTCAGGAGATCGAGACCATCCTGGCTAACACGGTGAAACCCTGTCTCTACTAAAAAAAAAAAAAAAAAAAAAAAAAATACAAAAAACTAGCCGGGCAAGGTGGTGGGCGCCTGTAGTCCCAGCTACTCGGGAGGCTGAGGCCGGAGAATGGCGTGAACCCAGGAGGCGGAGCTTGCAGTGAGCTGAGATCCGGCCACTGCACTCCAGCCTGGGCAATAGAGCGAGACTCTGTCTCAAAAAAAAAAAAAAAAAAAAAAAATTAGAGGGTTAGACTTTATTCCTTCTTCCCATACCAAATCTTGAAACGTGGGCCCTATAGCATGAAGGTCACATTTGCCCCATCCCAGAAATTCACGGTAAACAAACTCAGTTTGGAAAAATTTAAAGGATGCGAAGTTTCCATTTTCAAGGCATTGTGAGAACGCCTCTCTCTCCCAGCTGGCGGCCCCATAAATGAAGCATTTCACAAGCTGCTCATGGCTTGCTTAATGAAGATGCCAAATTACACCACCAGATTTTTTTTCCCCTTTGGTGCCATCACTTTTCCTCCTTATGCCAATGAGAATTCAGGGTGGCATGAAGATAAGAGTTGGTATAAATGAGAACTTTGTGATATACAGGCAGTGTCTGAGTTTATCTCTGACTCAAATTTTGAGACTTAACATTTCTTATTTACTAATAATTAAACTTCAAAGAAAAAAGAGACAGACCTAAGAAATGGGATAATTTCACTGATATTTACTCACCTAGTAATAAGCATCCAATTCATTATTGAGGAAATAAAGAGATAATACATACCCAACAAACGAAGGAGGAGAAAAAGAACTCCCAAAGCGTAAGACTTGAGTTCAGGGCTGACTGTCCTACGTGCAAAGAGATGAAGAGAAAAAGAAAAAAAAAAAACAAAACAGATTCTTATCACTCTCCTGTAATTAACAGACCCCAGAGTCATTTGCTGCTGTCCATCAGAGCTCTTCTTTAGAAAATTACTAATAGTGCCTTTTTTTTGTCCCTGCCTAAAGTCTGAAAAATAACTGCAACTGTGGTGCCAAGATAAGTTTAGGAATTTAACAGTGTTCTTTAATAACTGGAGCTAACCTTGTCATTTGAAGGACAGAATGCAAATGTGGTCATAAAGCCTACATTTAAAGACATGTTGGTTTTGCTGAGATCAGGAAGCATCTTAAGTTGGTGGGGTACATGTATTGGGGGGGAAAACATCAACTGAGAAAATAATTCCCCGTATGCTTCACAAACAGGCTGAAACCATGAGCACCTTTACCATTCTCTAGTCACTTTGTGAAATCCACCAGGTTAGCATGGTTGGACACCCTGGATGGACCATTTGGGAAATAATCCACTTAGCATGTTTCAGCACTGTGATGGTTCATATTGGGTGTCAACTTGATTGAAGGATGTAAAGTATTGATCCTGGGTGTGTTGGTGAGGGTGTTGCCACAGGAGATTAACATTTGAGTCAGTGGGCTGGGAAAAGTAGACCCAGCCTCAATCTGGGAAGGCACTGTCTAATCAGCTGCCAGCACAGCTAGAATATAAAGCAGGCAGAAAAACATGAAAATACCAGATGGGCCTAGCCTTCCAACCTACATCTTTCTCCCGTGCTGGACCGTTCCTGCCTTCGAACATTGGACTCCTAGTTCTTCAGTTTGGGACCCAGACTGGCTTTCCTTGCTCCTCAGCTGGCCGATGACCTATTGTGGGATGTTGTTGATCATGTGAGTTAATACTTAATAAACATATATCCACATATATCTATATCTCCTATTCTGTCCCTCTAGAAAACCCTAATACAAGCACCTTTTAAATTGGAAAGGTACCTTCATATAATTACAGTTGTTTCAAAGTGATCCAATCTCCCTGGCCTTGGTTTCCTCAGAACAGTCCCTTAGAATGGTCTTCTATATATTTTCTAGAGCATTTCCAGAGTGTAACATTTTCTGGGATGGGAGAGTAGAAAGAAGTTTGGAAACATTGACCAATTTCAGATAGATGGGTCCACATAGCTGATAACACAGTCTCCTTTGTAATACCTCTTACTCTTGCAACTGGTATTTCTTCAATGCTTGTTTTCTGTCCTGAGGCCAAAGACTATTTGTGTCTTGTTTATCATCATGACCTCAACCCTAGCACCATGTGTGGTGCCCAGCATGTGCTAAGTGACAGTGTAAGTGGGTGGGTGGGTAGCCCTTTCTTGGCTTGGTGGTGAAGGCATGTGAAGGGGAAGATAGCTGACTGACCACATGCATATGTGCTTCAGGTCATCCTGAGCACCAGTGGCAAAGAACCTTCCTCTTATCTGTTGCCATCATGAGTCCCCAGGGGAGAGGGGGAATAAATCACACTTCTATGCTCCCTGGAAGGACCTGGCTAGGTGTAGAACCAGTCCAGTATGGCTGAGCCTTTAGAAACACCCAGGAGCATTTCAGTGCGACTGAGCGACCCATGAGATGCAAGGAGGGCCTAGAAATCAATTCCGTAGAAATAAACTTTAATAACAAAGTTACCAACAGGATATCCAGTACACAGGATATTAACCTAGTCCATACACTTGGCTAGAATAATATTCTTAAATGATCTCAGAGGTCATTCATCCAGCCATCCAATGATATCTATCCAACGAGCTACCACTTGGCTTGAGCCTCAGGTGGGCATGTCTTTGGTTTCTTGGCATGACAAACCCAGTGACAATCCAAAAAGGATGTGTCCTCCCCAAATTCACACATTAAAACTTAACCCCTAAGGTAATGGTGGGGCCTTTGAAAGATGATTATTAGGTCATGAAGACTCTTGCTTTTGTGAATATGACCAGTGCCCTTATAAAGGATGCCCCAGAGAATTACCTCACCCCTTCTAAGTGACGGTATGGCAGCAAGGCACATCTCTGAACCAGGAAGCCAGCCCTCACCAGACAGCACATCTGCTTGCACCTTGATCTTAAACGCCCCAGTTTCCAGAACTGAGAGAAATAAATGCCTGTTGTTTGCAAGCCACTGAGTCTAGGTATTTTGTTATAGCAGCCTGAATGGATGAAGACACTGGAGTTTTTACAATCTTTGCCCCCGTTTCTAAGATTTTCAGGGAAAACACATCTCTTCTCAATTAGAAAGAATACAGTACAGGTAAGTCAACCCAGGGCAGCAGGTCACGACTTTCATTAAGTGATGGGGACGTGACTCTGGCTGATTGAGTTAGACACCTGTAAAACGTTCATGATGAGTCCAGTGTCTCTGGACAGAAACACAGTCAGTACTCTTTAGAATGTGCACGTTACAAAATCCAAGTTCTTCAAAGCTATTATCAGTTCCACGGCTCCGGCTTTTGTACTTTCATTTGAAAGTATTGACTTGAAAGACACATAAATAGAGGCAAATTCTCCTTATCAAGAAAGCACGCTGGTATAATGAGTTAGAATATTTATCACCTGAAATTTGATTTCCTTTCAGCTATCATGTCACTAGGAACAAAGTGAGCAAGGTGCTAAGATCTCCCTTCATATCCTGTTGGGAAACTGGTTCCTATGAGAAGAATAATCCTTCTTGGCTTGAGTTATGAAGAAATGGAGGGCTCTGTGCGAACACTATTGAAAGCTCCGGACAACACTGGGGAGGGAGTCTTCGCTCTAAACATACTAGCTGGGTGACCTTGAGAACACCGCCTAATTACTCTCGGAGCCCAGTGTGGGACCTAAGAGGGGCTGAGCATCAGCTTTTAACCTTGCTTCCAGATGTTCTGAGCACTGTTGTTGGTGGGATGGTCCTGTTTGGCATGACAGTGGGTCCATTCTTCTGGGAGGGGGCAAGGGCTGGTGCACATCTGTGCTCTTGTGCCAGCCTGAGACATCTGTGATGGCAAATCAGACTAGGAAGGTGATGGAATAAAGCTGTGTCTTGGACCTCTCAACATGCACAATGCAGAGCGTGTGCTTCCAGCACAGCGTGGAGTTATAAGCCTAGGTCATTTAGGCCATCTGTTGCTGATTAATTTAGAGGGAATCAAATATTTCCAGCAAAGCTCCAAGAGCTGTTTATCAAGCTGAGATCTGGAAGTGATTAAGAATTTCAACAAACTTTCCATGTTTGGTAGTCACCACTAGTGAGTGTCTAGAGGCTGGGTTTTTGCAGAGGAGTCATGGGGCAAGCAAATAAGAGACTAGTCATTTTTCATGCTTCTCGGTGCCTTTAGTGTATGAATATCACAATATAACTTCACGAGAACGTCTAACAATGAAAAATAAACTACTCGCAAGGCAGCCACCTAAAACCTATACATGAGATCTGATGGGTTTTGTCCAAATGCATATTATACATAATCATCTTCTCTAAATAGTTTTAAATTCAGTAGTTCATTTCATAAACGCTTTCACATTCTTAAGAATTTTCATTATTCCATGGAGCTGCAGTGCCATAGTTTAACTCACTATTCCAATTCAGGGTTTTCTGCTATTATAGTTAACGTTGTAATAAAAATCTGTCTGCATTGAGCTCTTTCTTTTTTTTTCTTTCTTGTAGAGAAGTACTTTTTAAAGATAAATGGCAAGGGGCAGGGTTACTGAATAAAAGGGCCTGAATATTTTTATGGCTCTTGACTCACATTGCCATATTGCTTTTTTGAAAGGAGTGATAGCCTTTTCCCATGCCACCAGCAATTTGTGATTTTGTCAGTTTTGATACAGCCTTGTAAGCACTGGGTGTCAATTTTTAAAATTTATTTTTCAAACGTAGTAAGTATAAAATGGCAATTTGCTATTGTACCCTTAATGCTCTGCACATTCAAAAGGCCTTGCTAATGATGTTCTAGGTGACATTAGCACTTGTAAAAATCCTCTTCCTTGGAATTCATAACAAAGATGAGGAAATGTGGTGGTGAAGAGAGAAGCTAAATAAAATAGAGGTGAGGTGCATGGACACTGGGTACTTCCATGCGTTTCATTCCTACTTTTATTTCCAGCCCTTGCTATTGAATCTGTTCACTTAGATAACTGCATCCCAAGAAGGCAAGTCTGTCTTTTTTTTTTTTTTTTTTTCCTGAGACAGAGTCTTACTCTGTCTCCCAGGCTGGAGTGCAGTGGCATGACCTCAGCTCACTGCAACTTCCACCTCCTGGGTTCAAGCAATTCTCCTGCCTCAGCCTCCCAAGTAGCTGGGATTACAGGCGTGTGCCATCATGAGGTTTCTCCTTGTTGGCCAGACTGGTCTCAAACCCCTGGGCTCAAGCGATCCTCCCACCTCAGCCTCCCAAAGTGCTGGGATTATAGGCGTGAGCCACCACGCCCAGCTGATGAGTCTTTGTGTAGCGGGCCTTCCCCTGATTCAGATGAACGGCAGGCTATGTGTTAGTTCACTTCTGGGTTTCCAACGCAAATCTAGGTAACTCTGCAAATGATAAAAGTTACTCAGAATATTACTAATGGCTCATCTTTGAGGTATCTCATCTGTCCCCAGGACAGGTCCCCAGAGACAGGTAACAATAGAATTTTGGTTGGCTCTCTCCAACAACCTCTTTGTATAAGAATGGTCACTGCTCACCTGCCATGAACCATGCTGCACACTAACCCGTCACATCTCTACTAGAGTTTGCACACACATGGTCTCAGGTCTCAGTGGGTCCTGCTCCACTGCAGGAGGCAGGCGGGATGGGTCATATCACCCCCAGGTACAGATTCAGAAGCAAGTCTAGGGGGAAGTGCCCACGTTCATATGGCTAAGCAGTGGCAGGGTGGTGGGGGCTGGGCACTGATGCCATTTTCATTTTCCTCCAACAAGGCTGCGTCCTGTAAGGCTCGATGCAGGATCCTTTTCAAAATTGCCTGCAGGTCTGTTTCTGGGAGAACATGAAAGTGCTGTCTTCTCCCCCATGCCCTGCCTTCTTCTCTTGGTGGGAGGTCCCTATCAAACATAATTGATTCCCAGCAGCCTAGAGAAGCTGCGCTCCTTGCTGTGGCCCTAGCTCACCTGGCTCGAGAGATTCCTATGTTGTCTGAAGCTCCGGTCCCTGGGAGGCCTGCAGATGAACACTAGGTGGAAAGGAGGAGAGGTGGGGCTGTGCCGATGGCTTACCTGATGAGGATGATGACTGAGGGTGTCTGTGCCATGGCACCGATCAGGCTGCAGATACACATTACACAGAGGAAGGTGAGGAAGGCCTCTTGGCACCCAGGACTAGGGCATTTTCCAGGAACCACGGTCGCATTCTCAGCAGGGACGGTGGTGAGGCACGCACAGCCCGTGAGATTCTGAAAGGGAAGCGTTCAGCCCTTTTATCTGGGGGTATCTCCAGTTTCCAAAGGCAAATCCATCCATCAGCTGAAGCTGTCACAGCCTAATTACGCATTCTGTGGCATTCCATTAATTAGGCCTGAATAAGCGAGTTAGCTTTTTTAAGGAGGCTGCAAAACACACGCAAATAAAGGAATATTTACAGGGAGGAGAGCTGATTTCTCTGTCTCTTGTGTGTTTCATTTCCATTTTCAAGAATCCCTCAGTAAGCTGAACCATAGATAACTGTGTCCCCCCAATACAATTAGAGAGGAAATGGCGCTTCCACAATATGATAAAACATTGCCAAATTAACATCGTAATTACTTGCCAATTTGTCCTCTCTTTTATGCAGTTATAATTACACTGAAGTGTATTAAAAGAAGTAAATCAGGTAACCTGCATATTGTTGCTGGTTGAGTGCCCAACATGGCACTTGGAACAAAGGCTGCACGCTGTTACGCGTGAAGTCACTGCGTCTGCAAGGCCGGGTGAGGGACAGCTGATGGAAGGTTCTCTGGAGGCTGAGGAAGCAAAGGGGGCTAAGAGATGCAGAAGCTTGGAGTAGCTCGTGGGGAGCAGTGTTAAAACCCAACGAGATACATTTATTAATATATGATCAGAGAGAAGAAAGAAAAGCGACTGCATTTCATTTGATCTTCCGGGTGGATTCTAGCCCAGCTGCCTGTTCCAGGCAGGGTCCTCTCTCCCGCTCGCTCCAGGAATTTCTGATGGCAAAGGGAGGAGCAGGGACTGGGAGAGGCAGTGCCCAGTGCCAAGCCAATTAAGGTTCCATAATAATAGTGCAGAGGCTTTTAATGAATACAAAGTGAAAACAATCATAAATGATTCATTGCTTTTCCTTCCAGAACTGCTTGGCTTTCAGAGCACATGCCCAGGTAAATCCTCCTGAGGGTCAAACAAATCCCCTCTGGCTTTTACAGTTCTCCTCCTCTGGTCCTCCCCCTGTGCCCACAGAATATAGAGATACGGGTTTTCTGATCCCATTAAGCTATATGGGATGATTTCAGGGGTGTCTGAAAGTGTTCAGGGGTGTCTGAAAGTGGCCCAACAGGGCCAGTCTGTACAGCTGTGCCCCCAACAGGGGCTTTTATCCATGGGGAAGGAATGATGGGGGCAGGTGTATGCTGGGGCTCCACGCTTCCCCTCAGTGTCTGCCCAGAGCAGGCGCCTTTGTGAAAGTGGTTCAATTAGTGTACCTAGGCGCATTTATTGTAATTCCCAGAAGATCCTGAGGCCCCGCCCCTCCGTCCCTTTTCATGTACCTCTGCCTAGAGACTTTTTAGCTCTTTTCAAAACCCAGCTCAGATACTGCCTCCCTTCTCAGAACCTCACCTCACTGGGCACATCCCAGCCTCCTTCCAAGTCCCACAGGACCCTTTTCAAGGGTCACTCCACCCCTACTGCAGAGACCTTTACATGCCTCCTGGAGGAGACAAGAACCCTTTGGGACAAGACCTATGTCTTCTGCATTCTTTCCCAAGCATCTTTTCCTAGCACAGAGCTGAGACGTAGATGAAAGTAAGCATACAGCTTTAGAATGCACATGAGCACGAACCTTCCTCATTTTTATTAGGAAGCAAGACTTCTCCCCAGCTTTCACTGAAAATGCCACTCCTCCTCTCCCCAGGAGAGGAAACTGCCCACTCCTCCCCAGCATCACAGCCAAACTTTTCTAGCTATTTAGCTCACCACCTGCATTCCTCTTCTCCCACGCTCTCAGCTCACTCCGACTGGCTTCTGTTTCCACACACATGAATCCGGTGGTGCTAAGTTCTTCAGTGGGCTCCATATCCCAGGCCCACCATGCATTTCTCTCTTCCCGGAGCTCTCAGGAGCACAGGTCCCTTGCTGACTACTCATCATTCCCTTGTTTGGCTTCAAGGCTCCACTGTTCCTGTTTCCCTGGACCCCTCTGGTCACTCACTTTCCATCTTTGTTGCTGGTACCTTCTCCCCTTTCCCACCTGGTCTGGACTCTCTTCCTTTCTTCATCTGTACTCTTTCCCCAGCTCTCCTTCCTTCATTTTACCATCTCTGCATTGGATCATAGCCTTTCCAAATTTAATCTCTAGCTTGGATCCTTCCCAGATTGACTTGCTATATCCCTTCCTAAGACTCATGAGCATGGTGAGGCATCAAAACTGCCTCCAGGAACGAGTGCCTGTGGTGGATTCTATGCTTTCAGTGTAGCACTACTGTCCCACCTAAGGCTGGGAACTATCTCCCCCAAATTCCCTTTCCTGAAAGGATGGGGGCTGGACAGGAGGGAAACCTGGGACTCAGAAGGCAGGAGTTGTAGGAGACTAGCATATGCCACCTTGCAATATGCCTCTTTTATATAAAGAATATTTTGAGCTGATTATTTTGAGAAACCACAGACACAGGAAGCACCTCTGACAACAGAAGTTACCGTTGTGTAAGGAAAATTAAATTTACATTTACAAAGGAAATCTCCATTTGTAAGGGTGGTTCCTCTCTGTACCAGAGAGAGGAATGACTCAATCCCTACAGACTATCATCAGTCTAGAAGACACTGACTTAAGTTTGCATAACAAATGTTACTCTTGTTTAAAGTGCTGTTTCTGGGCATCTCCTCATAACTGGCCTTCCCCACACCCTTCTTTCTCTGTTTCACTGGACCATGGTATTCAAGTCTGAAGTCAAAGCCACCTCTTTGAGATTCACTCATTTCTCTGGCTATCTCCTGTGTCTACATCATGTATACGTGTTTCTAAACCTTTGTTTTCCTCCTGTTAATCTGTCTTAGGTTACAGGGGTCTGTCCCAACTGGGAACTGTGAAGGATAAAGAGAAAATTATGTATTCCTCCTCTATAAAGTAAAGCTGAGGCCATTGCTCCCAGAAGGCCACAAGGTCAGGCATGAGGATGGACATACAGACATGCCCGGAACGTGCTAGTCTGTCCCAGCACTCCCCACTTTGCACCGCCTTCTTTTCTGCCTACCCTGCTGACCAGTGGCGGCGCCACGCCCACCCCTAGTGACCTGGCTGCAGCAGGCCATGTGGCTCCCCACATCCCAGAGTGCCCATCAGATCTCCTGAGCAGCCATGCAGCACAGCTTCCTGGGATGTTCCCCTGAGCTCTGACTCACCCACCTGTGCCAGAGGCATCTAGTGAGGAAATGTTGCTTTGCTTCTTCCTCTTACTTCAAAACACTGTTTTCCTGACAGTTACGCAGCCCCAGCCCGAGCTCCAAACTCCTTTCCTTCCACCTCTTACCTTAGTAACAGCACCCTATTGACTATAAAAGTAATGGCAAAAACGGCAATTTTGCACCAACTTAATAGAAACCAGGAAGTAATTCTGAATCCCCCATTCACATACCTACATCAAATTCATCTTCCCCCTGACACTAAAGCTAATGAAGACAGAGACCACTGTGGCTGTATTCCCTAATTTACTCCAGCCATCCAGGACAGGGCTTGGCTCACAACACGGATATTATACACACACACACACACACACGCACACACACATATATTTATATATTTAATTTATTTATATATGTTGACTGAGTGAATACCTAAGTTCTGTTCATTTTGCCATGTCCTAAATCTGTCTCAAACCCTGCCCTAGTTCAAACCACTTGCAACCATCCTTCTTTGGTTACTGCAGTGGTCTGTGAGGAAAAAGATTTGGGAGTGAAGTTTTTAGAACCATATGGACTCAAAGAGTAGTTAGGCATAAATGAAAAATGGGCCCCTTGTGGGTGGCTGTGGTCTTGTTTGGCTAAGTACCCCAGGAATCCCTCATTTCCAGTACCCCCACATCACATTCCTGAGTGTTCCTGAGAGGCTATGCACTTGTAGCACGCAGTCTCTCAGGAATGTGATACGGGCAGTGGAGTTGAGTGAGGCCAGAACCCTCTGAATGTGCCATGTGATCGGTGAGCTTTCTTTGGTTTAACAAGTCATCTGCAATTGCTGCCTGCATCTTGGTCTTATTTTTGCCCATACCTGGGCTATGGCTCAATTATATTATATTTACCATAAAGAGGAAACTGGCCTCTCTCTGCCCTAAAAAGTAGAAAATCCCTCCTGAAATGGATCCTGTGATCATGGCACTAATGGAATGGGATACAATGAGACATCTTTATCTCAGGCTACAGCTGGCACGGGGCCTGCACAGCCCCATCCGGGTGAGCTAAATGTGTCCATGATGTCTATGTTCATGTTAATGAGGTGAGCAGACAGCAGGGTTAAGCTGCCATAGGATTTGCAGCCGAAACAAAGGGTAGCAGTGCGTGGTTTGAATGTTTGGTGTCCCTTGACCCAAGAATCCATATGTTGAAAAATAATCACCAATGTGATGCTATTACAAGGTGGGGGGTCTTCAGGAGGTGATTAGGTCATGAGGGTGGAGCACTCATGAATGGGATTAGTGTCCTTATAGAAGAGGCCCCAGAGAACTGCCTTGCCCCTCCCACGACGTGAAGACACAGCTAGAGGGTGCCATCTAGCAACAGGAAGCAGGCCTTCATCAGACATCAGATCCATCAGCACTTTAGTCTTGGACTTCCCAGCCTCCACAGCTGCGAGAAATTTGTTGTTTATAAGCCATGCAGTTTAAAGTGTTTTGATATAGCAGCCAAAAGGGGCTAAGATAGCCCCAGGCTGAATGGACAGGAATGGGATGATTTAGGGTTAATGACAGAAGAAAAGCCAGAGACTGGCACAAGACCAGTGAAAATGTCTGTTTGTTGGTATCCAAGAGGAAAAGCTGGAAATGGATGGATCTCTCCTAAAGGTTCTAGGCAAATCTGAATGTATTATTCAGATTTAATTTATTCATAGAGAGCTGTGAAAGAGGCTGGGGAGGAGATGCCAGAGTGCTCTGAGCAAGGACTTGGATGGGTTTCCTTTTCCATGTGATGAGTCAATCCACCAGGATGGGCTGGGTGGTCCCAGACATGGGGAGCAGGCTGGGGCAGCCCT